AATAAAAAGTGAGGTACCTCATGTTGCCTAGTTTTCCTTACGGGCTTGCTGCAACTCGTGGAAACCAAGTAATCTTAATCTAGCTAGACCTGCACATGGGCACAAGAGGAATAGGAAGGCTGGCGAAATAGACCTACTCTCATCTCTAATGCTGCACTTGGCCCCACTTCTGGCTGAGGGAGAGCTTCAGGAATGAGGCGGAAGGTAGGGGAAAGTAGGAAGGCGTTATGCATGGCTTCCCTCGCGCCTGGAAAATCAAATGCTTCAATCCGCAGCCTGCGTGCCAGACCTGTTTGGAATCAGACATTTCCCCTTTAAAAATCCCTGTCGCTCTTCTAATAGAGACCACAGAGTTTGCCACAACGGAGGCGACAAAACTCATTTCTTAGGGCCGGGGATTTAGCGCTCTGTGGTTCCACCGCCTGCCTCGCAATCGCAAGCGCAAACTCAGGAGTTCGATCCCCGGTACCAAAAACAAAAAACAAAACCTAATCTGGACCCACTCAAGAGGTTAAACGCTTTCACAAGTCACCCACGTATTTCTCTCGAATGGAACTGGGAGCGGCGCGAATAGGACTTTGCGCCCAAACAACGGAAAACCGGAGTAACCCGGAAGTAGGTAGAAAGCGGAAACACTGGCAGTGTGAGGTGGGCATCTAGCCCCGTCCCTTACGTCACCAGAAATGCGCCCGTGAGAACGCGATTTGATTGGCTGGAAAGAGGGCCGCGGCGGTTTCCGCCCCCTGATTCCCCCTACAGATGTTTGCTGCTGTGAGAGCCTCGGGCTAGAGGGACTGCAGACTGGAAAGTCCAGCCGCCTTCTCTCCAGGCAGAGTCTGAAACAATTTAGCCAGTGAGTAGGATTCTCGATGTTGAAGCAATCAGGCTTTCAGATTACTTTTTTTCCTGGCTCATCTTTGTTTACCCCCTGACCTTTCCTATCCTTTCCTTTTCCACCTTCCTGCTACGTAACACGATTGGAATCTCCTCTTCCTTTTCCGTGCTCGCCTCTACCGACTTTTCATTTCCAGCTAAATCCTTAAGAAATCGGAGGTACCGCTGCAAAGTAGGTACTTTTATCACTTCGGGGACCGTGTCGTTAGCTTCTCTGGCCACCCAGACTCCCAGTACTAAAGGTCACTTGTATGATTCCAGAGCGTTGCTCTGGTTCCACGACTCACTTTTGACCTGCAAGGGTTTTTGCCAGAGGCAGTTGAACAAAAGCAGGTGAGACTAGGAGTGAAAGAATAGGAAAGGCAGGCCTAAATTAAAATCAAATATAATTACCTACTGTTTTCAATTTTTTTCTTTAAAAACAAGTTATCTTTTAGAAGCTTGAAGCTGTTGGTATTATATGCGTGTAAAGTTTTAAACCATTTGATAATATTCTCCCAACTTATTTTTGCGTTAATTATTTATGTTTATGTCAATTTGCATATCCCATGTTTCTATGTCCAATGTAAATTGACTGAACGCTGACAATGGCTAGCTTTTTATGAAATATTAAATTGGAAACTCATATAAATAGTCAAACTTTAAATTTAGTTCAGAATTTGTTTTACGGATGTATTTTGGACATGCAGGATGGGTTTCGTCATCGCTATTAAATTTTAATAGTTATTTATATATGCTGTCGCTTTGAATGTTTGAAGCCTCTTTTGATGTATCTTCCAAGAAAATTCAAATGTCCTATTACTAGCAACAGTAGTTGTATTTCTATTTTAAAATGTTATTTCTAGCTTTCACTAATTTGCCATTTTATTTTCAGGGAGCAGACCAGCTACACAGGTCTCTTTCTGTCATTCGTGCACATGGAAGAACACTTCAAGAAAAGTTTATGTAAAATGGGTGTGATACTTTCTGTTGATAATTAAGACTCAGTTTTCAAAGTACATTTTACATTTTTACTATAGAAATCGTTCAGTTATAGTTTCATTTTATTTTTTCTCACTCACATTATAAGCTATTAAATAAATGTAAGGATATCTTGTGAAGAGATTGATGAAAAGAATACTGTGCATTTATTTAAAAAATATAATAATAGTTATAAAAAGCAATAGGAGTTGTTTTTGTTGCATTCTACTTAGACTTGGTTCTATGCACTTTTTTTTACCTAATTGAGTGTATTGATTTATAAGGATTTATCCTAGTTTTTTTCACCTAATGCAGTACTTTTTCAGCCTGTCTCCTTTTATTTAGAAACTATCCATAATAGAGTTATAACTTATTAATTTTTAATATATTTATGGAACGCACATACATTTCTACAAACATAATACATCTGTGTAATTAGTATTAATTCACTCTAGAAGGTTTCTCCTTCCTTCTTTTCTGTACTAGTTACCGTAAGTGACCATTCTGTGACTGCTGACATCAAAAACTACTGTGATTTTTCCTGTTTCCTAAATATTTTAATAGCAACATAAAATTCTACCATTTGTATATACTGTAATTCACTTACATTGTTAGACATTTATATTTCTGTTCTCTCTAATACAAATAAAACTTATCTGTTTTATATATTATAGTAACTTTTCCAGGGATGATATTCCTCAATAGTATAACACAAAATATTTCTGGATTTTTCTGTATATTAACAATTTACTTATGCAAGTACTCACCGTTAATACTCCTGCCAGTGGTTTATGTTTATTTTATGGCCCAATAATAAGTATTGATAATCTTTTTTTGTCTGGTTGTATGTTTGGTACAAGGGATCAAACTCAGGTTTTTGTACTTGTGAGCCAGGCGGTGGCACCACTGAGCTAAATCCCCAACCCTTGATCATCTTTTAATTTTTTTAGTGCTTCACTAAATTGGAAGAAATTGTGTGGAAAATAGAATTTTAAATTTATTTGTTCCCTTAGTATAAAAAAATATAGTATTAATGAAATTTACATCTGAAATATTTTAAAACTACTGGCTCTATTGAGGCTGCATGATTCTAACAAGTATTTAGTAATTCAGGTAAGTAGTTTACTACTTTCCTGTGTGGAATTTTTATCAAGCAACTTTATCTATATCTCTGGACCTCAATGTCTACATCAATAAAATGGTAAAACTTCAGTCAACTAGCGTAAAACTTAGTATAAATAAATCATGAAGCACTCAAACATATTGGAAGAATATATAGCCTGAATGTTTGAGCAATTTATAAATTAACAGAAACATGGCTTTCCTAAGAGGCCATTTAGCTCAGCTCCTGATCTCAGGGAAAGGCTTTGAACATATTAAATGAAAGGACTTTGTTTGTTTGTTTTTTTGTTACTGGATTTCAAACTCAGGACCTTGCGCTTGCGAGAGGCAGGCGGCAGAACCACTGAGCCAAATCCTTGGCCCTTAAATGAAAGGACTTTGAAATTAGGCTGCCTAGATCCAAATTCTGGCTCTCCTGTGCCTCAGTTTGCTAATCTGTAAAATTGCTACTTAATATGAATTCCTTAGAGTCTTCTGCCTGACACATAAAAGCCCTGCATATTGGAGATAATGCTTTAGGTAAATTAGCTAAAGAAAAAAAAAAAAGAATAGAACATTCTAGGCAAAAGAAAGAACAAGAGCAAATTCATCAAATACAAATTCATCATATACAGCAAATGAGCTCATCCTGTATTCCTAGAACACAAAATGTGTAGAGAATGAAGGCAGAAATGAGTTTAATGGTAGACAGACCCGGTCACAGAGGACTTGGATTCCTGTTTCTCTTGTTTAGCACATCTTTCTCTATCAACCTCATAATGCGTGTCACAAAATATAAAATTGTTTGAAATATAAAAGCATTTCAAATGAAAACAATTAGGAGACTATTCTGTTTCCTCCACATTGCAGCCTTTGTAGGGAACGTGATAGATTTGCATTGGTATTAGTGTGCAGAATGACTTAGAAGGGACTAAGACTGTGGTCAGTAAGATCAGCTAAAGGGCTATAAAAGAAAGAAGACTGTAACTAGAATAACACTAATTTTGGTGAGGAGACAACAGTATTATAAAATATCATGCAGGAAGCAGCAAAGAGAAAATTCAGCCTAATATATCCTCTTTTCTCACCAATTGCTCCATTTTCATATATACATATATAGATATGTATACATATATACATATCTATGTATGTATACATAGATATGTATACATAGATATACATATCTATGTATACATATATATACACACACACACACACACACACACTCTGTTTCTCTTTCTAGGTCTGTTCTCATTCCTTTAGGATATTTCCATGCTCCATTATGTTGAGGGCTAAGAATCAGCTTTTTTTACTTTCACCTCATCACCTGAAGCAGATAAAACAATCATCAGGCTCCAGGCTCATATGGCAACGCCTTCTACACCAGCAACAACCTCTTCATCCAGAATGGGCTGTCCTTGCCAAAAAGCAGCTGAAAGGCAAAAACCCTGAAGATTTAATATGGCGTACTCCAGAAGGAATCTCTATTAAGCCCTTATATTCCAGGGCAGATACTAAGGACTTGCCTGATGAACTTCCAGGAGTAAAGCCTTTCACACGTGGACCATATCCTACCATGTATACCTATCGGCCCTGGACCATTCGCCAGTATGCGGGCTTTAGTACTGTAGAAGAGAGCAACAAATTCTATAAGGACAATATTAAAGGTGAGATTTTAATGTGAGACATAATATTTATATTAAGACCTAAAACTCCTGAGTTTGAATTTTTTCTCGAGGTGAGGCTGGTTGATTTCTGAAAAAGATGATACTCACTTTATAGTTTTGTAGCTAAACAGCATATGGTGAAGAATAGATGTTTTCAACTTTCATGGTCAAAAAAAAAAAATCAGACTAAAGTGCAGATTTCTGGAGGTAAACCAAACTTCTATGTACCTTTTATAAAAAGAATAGGTGGGATGAAGATACATGGACATTGCTTTTGCAAAGCTTTCAGTTGATACTGTTGAGACAATAATTGGAGGGGAAGATAGTTTAAATGATTCCCAAAGAAGTACTGATATATTAAATAAAATATAGCACTCTGAAAATTATATTTACTATTTCTACCTTCTGATCTATAATAAAATGCTAACATTGAGGATTTCTAAGTTTATATTGCTCATGAAAGACTGAAGTAAAAGGTAGTTTAGAGTATTTAAAAATTTTGAACTGAGACTAGGAAAATAGTTCAGTGAGAAAGTGTTTTCCTAGTGTGCTGAAGGCCTTGGGTTCAATAATCAGAATCATGGGGAAAAAAGTGTGGGGGGAGTTCATAATTGTTACTGGGATATTTGAGTAGCCAAGACATCTGCCTTTTAGAACCAAAAAAATGAGTGTACAAATTATATTAACAAATTATATTAAATAGCTAGATATTTTCATGAGTATTAGAAATACTTCAATCAAAAAATATTAAAATTATAAAAAGAGAACCAAAAATAATTTGATACTTGAGCTTAAGTAACAAATCTTCAGACAGACATGAGATAAATAAAATATTGTGTTCCTTTTATTTCTCCTATTATAGTCTGGACATCAATTTGTGTATTTTAGTACTTTGAAAAAAGGTGATTCTCTTAGAAACTGAAAGTTTTTTTATTTAACTGCTTTTATATATCTGAGCATAAAAAAGTTATAAAATATACTATGATGAGATCATTCAATGCCTTCTGAAGTGTAAAGTAAATGAATTTATTTTTATGGCAGTCTCTTTAATATTACTTTTTTCTTTTTCTTTTTTGTATATTTAGCTGGTCAGCAAGGGTTATCAGTTGCCTTTGACCTGGCAACACATCGGGGTTATGATTCAGACAATCCTCGGGTTCGTGGTGATGTTGGAATGGCTGGAGTTGCCATTGACACTGTAGAAGACACCAAAATTCTTTTTGATGGAATTCCTTTAGAAAAAATGTCAGTTTCCATGACCATGAATGGAGCAGTTATTCCAGTTCTTGCAACTTTTATAGTGACTGGAGAAGAGCAAGGTGTACCTAAAGAAAAGCTTACTGGTACAATTCAAAATGATATACTAAAGGAGTTTATGGTCAGAAATACTTATATTTTTCCTCCAGAACCATCCATGAAAATTATTGCTGACATCTTCCAGTATACAGCAAAGGTATACTTTACCATTATTATAGATTTTGCATAGTTTGAATGTAGGAATTTCTGCAAAATATTACAATTTAATTTGAATTTAGTAACTAGATTGAGGAATAGTTTAGTAAATAGCAAATAGAATGAGTAATAATTCTGAATATTTATTGATGTTAATTTTTTGTCTTTAAAGTACTAATTTTATGCCCTGTCATTATTTGGGCATTATATATTTACTGTCTTTCATTTCTTAATTCTCTGATAATTGTTAGAACTAGCGAAGTCTCACAATTTATACTTAACTACCTCTAGAATTCAGGTGTTGTTAATGTAGACACTGGTCTTAAGATACGAGAGGATCAAAGTATCAGTTTGTTTCTGCCAAAAGCTGGAATGGAAGATACCACCTACATCTACAACCTTCATGAAGACCCTAATATTTACCCCTAAATTAGATTCATCTTCCTCAGAGATGTGAGCAAAGAGGATTCCTACAGTGTTTCTGTAAAAGCAGCAGTCCCCTCCACAGGGAAGTCTGGAAACATTTTCCTCCCCTTTCTCCATTTTCCTTTTAACCGTTCATATATATTTTTTCCCTCATTGTTCACTTTGCTTCTTGCTGGAAATGCTCTCCTACCTTCAAGTTAGATATTATCTAATAGCAAAAAATAACAGGGAAAAATCTCTTTACAGCAAATGCTTTTTAGATCTTATTTCACTTCTATGTTCATTATCTCAGAATTTTAGAAGCATTGTCTACATTCCCTATTTTATACTTAGCCTTTATATTTTGCAGTTGTATTTATTTTTATGTATTAAATCTACCCAAGTGAACTGTACTGAATATAATTGTGTATTTCTTTCATCTGTTTCTATATTTTAAGACCCTGTACAGAGGATTGTGTTTAGCAGCATATGACACACACAAACATGGTGGCTATTTATGTTAAACAATGGCTCACACTAAGAAGAGTCAGTTCTTCATCTAAAGCAGTCAGAAGGTCAGGTATCAGGGACTTGCTTCTATGGTTAATCAGAGCTCCAGATTCCTTTTATCTTACTTCTCCTCTGTTATTGTTAAGGAAGGAGGTGGGCAAGATATATGTCAGAAGGAGAGGGATATGGCTTGTCTAAGTTAAAGGGAACTAGAAGGAACATACCATATTCCCACTTGTATTTCAGGAAACATAATAATAAAAGAGTGGAAATGTAGGGCTTGCACTTTGGCACTCTGAATTTTATTCAACTATTAGAGGAAAAAGGTGAAGGTGGTCTTTGCAGTAGATAGTAGCAGTCTTTGCTGATAAAATACTGGAGTGTTTATTTCACTGGAGGAGAACCTAATAATATCCAAAAGTTCAACATTCCTTTATGTGATCCTTGATGTAAGTGATAAAATCCCAAATTTAGATACTGGTCAAATAATATTTCTTTGAAGTACTTTGTAAATAGTTAACTTTTGTATTTATAAAGAAATTTTAGGACTGGTGTTATTCAGTGGTAGAGTACTTACATAGCGTGTGAGATCCTAGATTTGATCTCCAGCACTACAAAAGAAAAAAAAAATTAAAAAAACAATTATTCTGTGATAAAACAGAATAAGATATATAACCATCTTAACCATTTTTCAGTGTACAGTTCCATAGCAGCCATCACTACCATCTCCTTCTAAACTCATCTTGCAAAACAGAAAATATCTATTAAACTGGAAATCCCAGTTCCTCCCTCCTGAAGCTCTTGAAAACCACCATGCTACTTGATATCTCTATGAACTGACCCTTCGAGGTACCTCATATCACAGGAACCATACAGCATTTGTCTTTATTTAATTAGCATAATATCTCCAAGGGTTATCCATGTTATAAAATTAGAATGTGCCAAAATTTCTTTCCTTTTTAAGTTGAATAATGTTCTAATTTTCTGATATTTCTATTATTTTTAAATTCTGTCAGTAAATGCCTTTGCATAGAGAAGCACATTTTCTTGCTTCTTATAAGTAAAACCTATATATACATATTAAAATACACACAAACACACACATATATGATTAGTTTTCCAATTTTCTATGATTCTATCACCTTACTGATTTTGTGCTATAGCTTTTTGTTTTTTAGGTGGGGAAGTATTGGGGATTAAATCCAGAGCTTTTAAAATATGGTATATAGCCAGGTATTTTATTTTTTATTTTAAGACAAGGTCTCACTAAGTTGTTAAATTGCCTAGGCAGGCCTTAACCTTGCTGCCCTCTTTCCCAGCTTCCCAGACTGCTAATGATAATTCCTTATTTTGGGGATATATAGTAAGCTTGGCATATATTGGAATGACTGACTTAGATGAATCATTAAATCCTAAAACAATTCCATGAGGTAGTTTCAATTATTATTTTGATTTTTGTAGTTTAGTGAACCAAGAATTAGCAAACTGAAAAATTTCCCTACAGTCTCAGCTAGTTATGTGACATAGCTAGAATTAGAGCTCTTTGACTCAAGTCCATATTCTTAACCATTGTACTGAGTTTGATTTAGTGTTTGTGAAAGTTTAATTAACTCAGAAAATATTAATTTGGGGGCTGTACAGGATATATGTGATTATATACCCCATCTAACATGAAATTTTAGGGTACTCAGAATTTAGTATTCTTAATGATTGTGATAGAAAGAATCTGGGTTATGCTTGACATTAAATATTACAGTAAATCAAACTGAAATCTTTGATTAAGCCTTGAATGTATTACTGTTTTGTTTTAAAATGTAGTACAATAGTAGTAAGGGTAAAATCATTTTCTTTTCCACTCTATACTAATTCATATTTGATACCTTTATTCAACTTAATAACTATTAAATGTATGCATCTTCAGATTAAGGCATAGTTAAAAGGTCTTATGAACTTTTGTAGGGTCAGAGTATTTGTTTGGAATTTAAGATCTCTTTTTCTGAGTTAGCCCTAAAAGATGGTCAGATATTTTCTACTAGAAAATACAAGTACAGTCCTTTGTTTGTTTGTTTGTTTTTAATGAGGCTTATGAGGCTTTACATTTATTACAGTTAGGAAAAGAAACATGCTCTTCAGAATGAGTTTGGCTCAAGTAAAAGTAGGAAAATGCACACTCTACAGTCTGATGGTTAACTATTATGAAAGAGAGAACATAGTAGCCCTCAGATAACTGTTTTAATGATGGTTTATGGATCAACTAAAAGTGAATTAAATGTAGCAAACTTTAAATATTTCCAGTTGTTACCATAAACTACCAAGTATATGAGTTAAAAATCTTTTAAATATATTTGCTTTTAGAAAATAGGAACCTTTTTATATTTTGTTCATTGTTGTATTTACTTTGTATAGCACATGCCAAAATTCAATTCAATTTCAATTAGTGGATACCATATGCAAGAAGCAGGGGCAGATGCCATTCTGGAACTGGCCTATACTATAGCAGATGGGTTGGAATACTGTAGAACTGGACTTCAAGCTGGCCTAACAATTGATGAATTTGCACCAAGGTGAGTAAATTAAACTTCAGTATTGTCACACTGTTAAGAAAATATAAACTCGGATAGTAGTGCACACCTGTAATTTCAGCACTCTGGGAGGCTGAGACAGAAGTATCAAAAGTTTGAGCTCAGCCTGGGTAATTTAGCTGCTTAATGAGACTGTCTCAAAATAAAAAATAAAGGGCCGGAGATTTAGCTCAGCAGTTCCAGTGCCTGCCTCACAAGCGCAAGGACCCAAGTTGGATTCCTGGTACCAAAAAAATAAATTAAAAAAAAAAGGCTGAGAGCCAGATGTGGTGGCGCACACATGTAATCCCAGCACTCAGGAGGCTAAGAAAAGAGGATCGCTGTGAGTTCCAGACCAGCTTGGGCTGCATAGTGAGTTCCAGGTCAGTCTGAAATACATAGTGATACCCTGTCTCAAAAAACAAACAAAAAAGGGCTGAGAATGTAACTCCGTGCAGTGATACAGGGCTCAATCCCAGTACCATCACCATGAAAAAACCCCCTAAAATAAAACAAAACCCACTATAGGACCATTTAATGACTTTTTGTCACTCTAGCAAAGCATATTGACAAAATATATATTTATATAAATATAAATGTCATGCTAGATTTTTATTGCCTTATGTTTTTCTAAGTGATATCCAGAAAATAAGCTGTACTATTTATAATAAAAAATCAGAATTAAATTTGGTAGTACTGAGCTGGAGATTTAGCTCAGTGGTTCCAACGCCTGCCTCACAAGCATAAGGACCCGAGTTCTATCTCCGGTACCCCCCCCAAAAAAAATTGGTAATACCTCTGTGTAAATAAGTGGACTGCTGTCTTCCACTATGCAGAGAACACAATTAACTTGCATATTTTGAGAAATTGCATTAAAATATAAACATGTTAAAACAATTTTACTTTTTTTAAAGAAGGATATGAACTATGAGAAACCATCTATTTTTTTCTGTTGTACTTATGTAACAACTGGGCACAGTACTATAAAATATTTTGTTTATAAACAGCTTATCAATGAAGTTGTATTAAAAATACAGAGAAACTTAAGTTTATTAACTTTAAATTTAGAGGTCAAAAGTCAATTCAGGGATCAATTCGGGAGTCACTTTGCCATGCTTTGCTTTGGTTGCAGCACTCAGCTATGTGTTGGCCCCACAACATGTGACAGATGTGACTCCCTCCATTAGAGAACTCACAGACTTGTGAGTGTCTTTTGATACCAAGCATGTTGTATATTTATTATGACAGCAGTTCTCAAAATGTGGTCCAAAGGCCCTTTATCGCCCTTCAGGTCAAAACTGTTTTCATGACAGGATTAAAACTTGATTCGCCTTTTTTATTTCCATTCTCTCAAAAATTTATAGTGTTGTTTTTCAAGAACCACACAATATGTGAAGTGCAGCAGAAGCAGAACTGCCTGCTTTTAAATCACACATTAAGATTTGCAAAAATATAAAATGATAATCTTTTGTAGCAATTTTTGTGTTAAGGAAGTATAATTTTCATAAAAGTTTTATGTTTATATGTTGTAAGTTTATCATTGTTTATAAGAACTAGTAAATCACTTATACATAGTATCCTAATATTTTTTAAGATTTTCAGTAATTTTTAAGAAAGGAGAGATGGCTGAGGCAAAAACATTTGAGAGCTGCTGGGTGAAGAGCTTCATCTAAGTGTACATTAAGAACTTCTATTACATTTTGGTTTTTTAAAGTTAACAAGGGCTGTATATAAAAATCATAACTTTTATGTCTTTAGAGACAGGTAAATAATTTAAATGTATAAGTAAGAAAGAGAAAATAAGATAAGGAGGAGTAGTGGTGAGATTCAGGACTGATTGGAGAAAAAATATGCCCAGCCCAAATATACTAATGATCTCTAAAAAAACTTTTTTTTTTTTTTACCCAGCCTGGGCAATTTAGCTACTTAATGAGCTTCAAAATGAATTTGTCATTTTATTAGCTTCATGGCAACGCCTGCCTTATATTTTGACATTTCTCATTTTTTAAAAGAAACTTTAAGAATATAAGAGAAAAGCCAAGGCTTGGAGGTGCACGCCTGTAATCCCAGCACTGGGGAGGCTGAAGCCGGAGGTTCATTGTGAGTTCCAGACCAGCCTGGGCTACATAGTGAGTTCCAGATCAGTCTCAACTGCATAGTGAGACACTGTCTCAAACTCCTCCCCAAAAAAAAGAATATATGAGAAGATCCTTTCCTAACCTAAATCAATTGCTAAGTCAGTAAGTCTTCCCAGAAGCAAATAATCATAGCTATTCTTTCTGCATGCATAAAAGTATAGGTTCATGTGCTAGGTTTACAGTTACTTTAATATTTATGCCTAGCTTTTAATTTAAATTCAGTTGTTTGCTATTTAAATCTGGATTTTAATTTTCTAATTGTGAGACCATGTTTTATTTTGTTTTATAGTTTTAAGTTTAAGCAAATGCTAGACCTAACTTATTGTTTCAGGTTGTCTTTCTTCTGGGGAATTGGGATGAACTTCTACATGGAAATAGCAAAGATGAGAGCTGGAAGAAGACTGTGGGCTCACTTAATAGAGAAAATGTTTCAGCCTAAAAACTCTAAATCTCTTCTTCTGAGAGCACATTGTCAGACATCAGGATGGTCACTTACGGAGCAGGTATGAATATAAATTAAAATAGAGAATTTTAATAAAGAAAATTAATATTTTCTTCTAAACAGCATGAAACATGCACTAGATTTAAGGACCTATTGCTAATAGGTCAAATAAAGTAATACACATTTAGGTTTGTATTTACATGTAGAATAAATAAAATTAGCTCCATCTGGTGGCTAACAATATAAAATAATATAAATAGGATCCTACATACCACTGTACATAAAAGTAAAAAGAATTTGATGAGGAAAAAGTAAAAGTTAAAATTTATGTTTACATATGATCTTAATATTAATATTTCTATATAATCTTGGGTTAGAATTCTTAGCATAGAATTGCTTAATAAAAACTTGATGTTGGGTAGGGGATTTAGCTCAGTGGTGCCACTGCCTGCCTCACAACTGCAAGGTCCTGAGTTTGATCCCCCGTACCAAAACAAAACAAAACAAAATGTGATATTATACACATGCATATATTTTATTTATTATTGTTATGTGTTTAAGCAAGCATCCAAGCAAACAATGTAAAGAATATTGTCATTTTAGTAATTTATTTTAATTTAACTTATGCCATTAAAATTAATCTTGTTTTTTTCACATTTATTTTATATATTTGATGCATTAAAACAGTTTATAAGTTTAAACATCTGTTTGTTTTATACAATTAGAAGTGAGTAGCACCTAATAAACTTCATATGAAGTATAACTTTAGGTCCTTATAAGTGAAAAAATAGAAATTGTGAGGCTGGAAGAAACTTTTTTATCTTTTTGTCTTAATCTACTTACTTTTATAGCTGAGAAAACTGATGTTCAGAGAAATCCAATGACTTGCCCAAACAACAATTAGGATATATTAAACTAGAACCAAGATTTCTTAACTTAGAGTCTTTGTTCATTTATTAGTCAGTTATTAAATGCTTGTTTTATGCACATCATTGTGGTAGATACTTTGGAGTATACAAAAAAATCAGGGATAGTGAATTAAGAAATGAAAGCTCATATAATCAAAGTAAAAAAGGAGCACTTCATCCTGTATTTATGAAACAGTAGGCAGTATAAAAGTAGGTACAACACTTTTTGATATGTTAGAGGATTGTACAAGACAGTGTGGCTGAGCACAGACTATATAATTTAGCTATTATAGTTCTGGCTTGTTTACTAATTTGTTTTAATTTTATTTGATACTCTGAAGCCTAAGATAAACATTGGCATAGAGACTATGTACCCATCAGTGCTTACTTATATTTTCTGCAATCGTTGCCTTCCTGTCTGTCAGCTGCTTCCTTTGTTTTTTCATAAATGTTTTAGGACCCTTACAACAACATTATCCGGACTGCAGTAGAAGCAATGGCAGCTGTGTTTGGAGGGACTCAGTCTTTGCACACAAATTCCTTTGATGAAGCTTTGGGTTTGCCAACCGTGAAAAGTGCTCGAATTGCCAGGAACACACAAATTATCATTCAGGAAGAATCTGGGATTCCCAAAGTGGCTGATCCTTGGGGTGGTTCATATATGATGGAATCTGTCACAAACGATGTGTATGGTGCCGCCTTGAAGGTCAGTTTCTCCTCCTCACAACTTTGCATTAAAGATTTATAAATCAAAATTTATACTTCTTTTGACTTACATATCTAATCATTTTTAGATTTATATCAAAACATAAAATATTTGAGGAAAAGGATATTTACATTAGATTGAAACTTTCAAAACTGAAACGATTTAAAAATACATTTGTATTTGTATTAGTTTTAATCAGATAAAAAGGCAGCTAGTATTTAAAAACTTGTGCAAAATAACAATATTCCTTTGTCTACTCTTTGTTTTTGTTATAGTCCTTGGAGTAAGCCACCTATATCTTTGTTTCTTGTGGTTTTAATCTACATAATTTAAAATCACATATACATGCTGTTTCTTCTAACTTGGTCAACTCTGGACATTAGAAATTAAGCTTTTGGCTTTATTTATTGTTTTTCTGATATAGTCGTGTGATATTTTAGCTAACTCCCATGCCTTCTTTCTCTCCTCCCTTCATAGGGATATAATTATATCCCAGTCCTTTCTGAGGTGTTTGCATGTTTTCTTTTGACTTAAATTTGTTTCTTTGTAGGCCTCCTGATCATTGTTGTTCTTTTATTTCTCTTTGTTATTATCTTGGGAATATTTTGTCACTTCTGTGTTGAATTCTGAATCTGGAATCTCATGTCCGTCTCTCTGTTATTTTGAAGCACTTCTCATAGCAACCTCCATAAAAGGTATATATGAGGTAAAATATTTAGAGTTTGAAAATGTCTTTATTCTTCTACTTGAATGATAGTCTAAGTTTGAAATTATTTCCATTCAGGATTTGTAAGCATTGTTCTGTTTTTTAGTCTAGTTTCTAATAATTTTAATCAGAAATATGATGCTGTTCTTCTTTCTTTCTGGAAGCATCAGGATCTTTTTACTTTTTGTGTTGCTATATACCTTGCTTGGTATGTGTGCTTGGTATGTATTTTTTCCTACTTTATACTGAATTTTTGATGAGTCTTGCATCTCCCCTTTTCTAAAATATTTTCATAGCTCTGGAAATTTTTCTTGTATACAGTAATTACTTTGATATTCACTTCCTAACATTTTTCTTCATCTAGAACTATTCAAAGATATTGCATGAATCTTTGTACCCTTAAAAAATACATGATGTTACCTTTTCTACAATGCATCTCTTTGGCTTTTACTTCTGTAGAGATTTATCTTTATCTAATTATCTTTATCTTTATAACTAACATTTTAATCAAGCTCATTTTTGGTGTCCAGTTTTTATTCTTAACATGTAATACTATTTTGTTTTATCAGTGCAGAATCTCTTCTCATTGAGAGAATATTAGTATTTTTGACATTCTCTTTTACATTTTGTATTGTCTCTGTATGCCTCTTTTTCTAGTCTCATTTTTTAGGATTTTGGTTTTTATTTCATTAAGGTATCTCTTACTCTTGCCACTCCTGTATTTGGTGTTTGATAGCCTTTGGCTTCTCCAGTTTATTTTGTGTAGACAGTAAATTTACATTTTTGACAGAATGAAAGAGGTAGCTGCAGATAAGTATTCCCCCTCTTTTTAGCTTCCTGTCTTATCCTTGTCTTCTGTAGTCTCCAATGTAGATTCTTCCATCTCAAATCCTTCAAGCTGGACCTTGTTCCTGTCAATCATCTCTTCTCTGCCTTTATATAACAGGCTGTTATTGAGGGTTTAGGTATTTCTTGGTTTCATTATAAAAAGAGTTATGTTATATCTCTGTTCAAATCAAACGTGCAATTGCATTTTGCAGTATAATTTTCATTATGTAAGCGTGATAACAGTGGATATAAATAAAAATAAAAGTTTGTAAATTGATATTGTCTTTAATTTCTCTCAAGACTTGAATTAGAAGTTTTGTATTTTCCAGAACATACTTCATCAGTTTTTCTGTTGTCTTTTAAATACAGTACTACCTCAGTACCCGTAGGTTTCAGAACCTGGGTACTTACCACATTTTGATGAGAAAAAATGTTGCAGCACCCAGTGCTTGTCTCTCTAGCTCTGGAATAGTGTAGAGCCCTCACATATTACCATTACTGCCCTGTGCTGTACTCAAGTGCTAATCATGGGCCACAGAAAAAGTGAGTGACACCACTAAGCCTAAGAGACTTATATCAGCCCAGTAAGGGCTAATTTTAGTACAGTAAATTATGAAAGTTATGGAAATTTTAAAAATCATTTCTAATTTTTGTTTCTTGTGGGAAAAATTCATTCAGTACAGTACTCAGTTTTGGCACTCATCAGGAGTTCTGGAATAAATGAACAAGTGCCCAGGTAAAAGTATAACTTTAAACACACAAATTTTAAATAATTATCCTGGCTATTTATTTAATTCCTTTCTTGTAAAATTTAACTTTTAGCTCATAATTTTATTAGTTATTATATCACAAAACTCAGAACTAACTTATATACTTTAAATTTTTCAAAGTCTCTCTAGTTCTATTAATTTGTTTTTATTAGCTTATTAATGAAATTGAAGAAATGGGTGGAATGGCCAAAGCTGTAGCTGAGGGAATACCGAAACTTCGAATAGAAGAGTGTGCTGCACGAAGACAAGCTAGAATAGACTCTGGTAAGAGAAAATAGAAAGGCTTGTTTATAAAACTTGGTATCTAAAAAGAAACATGAATTTCTGTTTGAAGATAACACATAGTTAATAGAACAAAATGAATGAAAAAGTTTGAGAAAAATTTTCCTCATACACATGTCTATATCCATATTTGTCTGTGTCTTCATATTTTTACATATACACACATGTTTTTTCATAGATGCACACAAGCAAGCATACATGTGTGGGTGTATACTCACTGTATATATGCATGTATGTGGGTAGATATTGCCAGTATTTTCAAGATGACAGTATTGGTAGTCATTGTGCTTTGTATTGGAGGATTCAGTCATTTTCATCAGTGAATGCTTTAGTAGGTTACATCTGAGCCACTTGCTGTGTCTGGGCATGGAGCTGTGAACAAGACAGACATGAACTCTGAGCCCCTAGAATGTAGATTTTAATAAAACAAAATCAACAAGTAAACTAACAATATAATGATAGCTTATGCTATAAATGCTCCAAAGGAATAGAAAGACTATAACCTGATAGAGGAGTGGTAAGCTGCCTTTAGATAAAGGTAATAATTTGATAGCCTGAGGCAAAGTATATTTTGTATCGTGTGAGGAAGTATATCTGTAAATTTTGATTTATTAATTACTGATTTTGAAAGAGTTTGTCTTTTTATTTAAAAGTGATTGGCTGTGACATAATCCAGGAAAATATTAGAAGAGGTATTGGCTGCCACTTTCTAAATCTTACATGGTCACTGCTCTGATTGTTTTGTTTAATGTTAGAAAAAAGCTTCTCAGAAGCTCTTAGGAAGTGTAGATTGGAAGAATAAAAAAAGAAAAAAAAATCCTCCCTTACAGAGACTCTGTTCTTTTCCCTCATACCCTCATCCCAGACTGAGACTTGATGATCTATATTGAAGTTTCATTGTGTTAAGAGTACTACTTATATATATAAAGCTTAACAAAGAAAATCCATACTAAAGCATTACTATTAGGCAATTTTTTGTGAATAGAATTTACATATTATTTTTCTTTGGGAAATTAAAAGGTTCTGAAGTAATTGTCGGAGTGAATAAGTACCAGTTGGAGAAAGAAGATTCTGTAGAAGTTCTGGCGATTGATAATACTTCAGTGCGTACGAAGCAGATTGAAAAACTTAAGAAGGTATTAATAGTTCTGGGAGTTGGCTAGTCCTCACATTGTCCTTTACAACCCCCCACATGAGGTAGGCATTATTTTGCATCATTTTAAAAATAAAAAAACTAAAGATAACAAATTGAGAAACTTGCTCAGGGTAAATGACTGAACAGCCAGGACTCAATAGAGTTCTGCTTGACACCAAATACCTGTGTGTTTAAACCATATTGGCCTCTGTGAAACTTTTACATGCTACTATTAAAAAGCACACTAAATAATAACTCCCTAGTAATTTACAAGTGAGAACTAGGGCTTAGATGATTACATAAGTTACTCAAAGTAAAAACAAAATAAAGTTCAGAGTCAATGCTTGAACCTAGGGCTCCTCATTGTAATTTCTTTCCATTATACCATGGCTCTTGATACAATTATAAAAGAATAGTTTGCTTTCTGGTTTTTTTAATTTAACTGTAGTTGATAGCGCTTTGGTAAATACATTGGTTTAGCCTTATGTAACACCTGTGATTTAGAAGAGAAGTTTATGTAGCTGACGGTTTCAGAGGTTTCAGTCCATGGTCCCTGGCTCCAAGGCAGGAACATCTTGGCGTTGTGGAGCACAGGTGGCAGCTGGGAAACAAAGCACAGGGGCAGAACCAGAGCGTGACATACCCGTTCCAGAGGCTTGCTTTGCCCCTAGTGCCTCACCTCCAGCTGGTCTCACCTTAGGAGTCTCTGAATCCAATCAAGTTGACAGTTAAGATTAACTGTCACAGTATGCTACAGTTTATAATGAGCTGTGTCCGTTTTAAGTATTGTATATATGTTTATTTTGATTGAATACTGTGTTTCCTTATCTTCTTTTTCTCACTGATGCGATACAAGGGTAATGAAATATTAATTTTTACTCTTGTGACCTGCATATTTCTGTTGTCTGAAGCTGCCTTGGTTGTCTGATCTCTTGCTTTTGTAATTATTTCTATTTCTGAGGAAGGAAACAAAATCATTTATTGTTTTTCTCTGTTCACAGCTCCTATAATTGTCTAGGATATTACTTTTCTTCCTTAGTTCAGATGCTCTATAGAAATCTAGTAGCCTTTGGCCAGTGGATGTAGCTCTGTGATAGAGTACTTGTACAGTAGGCACAAGGCTCTGAATCTGATCTGCAACATCTCCCTACCCCAAATAAAAAGTCAGATAGACTATGCTATTTGGTTGAATACCTGTCATCTTCAGTACTTTTCTATTAGAGTTAATGGCAGATGTTAATAACATTACTTCTACTTTTACTTTCAATCTAATCAGGAATAATAGTAACTCTTCTGTCATATTTTGTCATTGTAAAGGCCCTGTTTAGCAGGTAGGGTTTTATTTTTAGTGATCACAAAGGTCTCTGTATTTTAGGTTCTTACTTGGATTAACTATTCCCTCCAAGCTTGAGGGGCTCCATTTACTATAAATGTTGCTAAACCTTATTTTGAGTAAGAGTGGAATTCAGTAATAGTATAGAAATACTTATTACCATTTATTGAGCTATGTGCCGTACACTGTGCTAAGTGGTTTTCTAAAATTGTTATTTTTGTGTTATTTGATTGAATAGATACTTTCTGTCTTCATTCCTTTACAGATGAGGGGACTGGTGATTGGAGAGTCTCTCTTAGTTGCTCAAGGTTATGCCCTAAGTTCAAGAGTTGGATTGATTGCAAGTTTCTTGATTCTAGTTCCAGTTTAGGAAAACAGGAGATTCTTTTGTAACTCTTAACTAATTTTGAACTTTGAATCTCTTCTTAGGACCATGACCAAATCAAAATTCTTCCTGAGTGAATGAATTAAGTGAATAAATATACTTCTTAGGGTATATATTCTTTTCATTTTTCTTGTTTTTACTTCTGAGGTTAGGATTATGGAACAAATTCCACCCAGATAGGGTCAAATCTCTTGGTATGTTTTATTCCATTGCTATGTTTTGTTCACATTAACCATCTCTTTCCTTTACCTTGTTTACAAGATCAAATCCAGCAGGGATCAGGCTTTGGCTGAGCAGTGCCTTGCTGCACTAACCCAATGTGCTGCCAGTGGAGATGGGAATATTTTGGCTCTCGCAGTGGATGCAGCTCGTGCAAGGTGAGGATATGTAAGTTTGGAGATTTCCAGTTACTGAACGTTTGACCAACTTAACTTTTCAGATGATACTTTTAATAGGTTGACCCTATAAGCCCTGTGAGCCCTAAAGGAAATAATGAAAGGCATAATAAATTCAATTCTTGCTCTTCTTAAACGTATCTGTGCATTTCAAACATTCATTTACTTTGAGTGGCATATATTAACATTTATGAATTTCACTGTGGTTTGGAACGTTTCAAGTTATTGTAATGAATCAGCTTCACTGATTTTCAGGTTGAAATTTGATGTCCTCTAAAGTATACCATCAAGGTTATGTGCACCACCTTGATATTTCACCAGGAAGAGAGCCTTTTGTAGAAAAGGGGAAACATTTATCTGAGAACTTATAGGAAAAATTTACTGTCACACCATTGCTTTTGAATTATTGGCAATTATGATGTAACCAGAAAAACAACCATTTTGCCTACACCATCCCAGAGATGCAAGGATGGTTCAACATATGTAAGTCTATAAATGTAATTCATCACATAAATAGGAACAAGGTCAAAAACCACATGATTATATCAATATATGCAGAAAATGCTTTTGACAAAATCCGACACCGTGATAAAAACCCTCAAGAAAGCAGGTATAGAAGGACCTCATACCCGAATATGATAACAGCTATCTGTGACAAGCCAATTGCCAGTATTATACTAAGATAAAACTAAAACATTGTTAAATTTTCAATAGCCCATTTTTAAATTACAAAATATGTCTAATTGTATTGACTTTTAATATATAAAACATACATTATAAAAATATTTATTTCTAAATAATGATGCTACTAGACCCTCTAATATTTTAGATGTACAGTTGGAGAAATCACAGATGCTATGAAAAAAGTATTTGGTGAACATAAAGCTAGTGATCGTATGGTGAGTGGAGCATATCGCCAGGAGTTTGGAGAAAGTAATGAGATAACATCTGCTATAAAGAGGTAATATGTGAAATTCCTTGCTTTTCCCCTTTCCTTTCGTTCCCCTTCCCCTTCCCTTTCCCTTTTCACTTTCCCCTTCTCCTCCCTCTCCTCTCCTTCTAAGCCCTTTTCATTGAACTATAACGCCACTCTTTTTTCTCTTTTTACAGTTTTACTAATTTGAGACATGGTTTTAATAAATTACTAAGTTGCCGGGCTAGGCTCAATCTTTTGATTCTCTTGCCTCAGACTTCCAGAGTGCTGTGATTATGTATATGAGATTTCTTAAACTTGAGTTTCATTTTTCCTGTTAACTCAATCTTCTTGAATCTTCTGAGGGCTTAGTGTTTTCACATACAACTTGGAACGTATTTGAATTGACTTTCCTGTTGGTCTGTAATTCTAGCAAAACTAAGAGATGTTAAATTGGGTAATTGCTGTTATTTATATTATGTGAACCTATTATACGCTCATATAATTAAGGTGTAATTAATGAGATAAGTATAATTTATGTATTATGCATAATATATAATTCTGAATATATTAAACCAGTCATGTCCCGGTATGGAAAATGTTGGTGTTTTGGTCAGTGATAGACTGCACACATGACTGTGGTCCCATAGATTATAATGGAGCTAAACAATTCCTTTCTCCTCGTGACGTTGTACCTAGTGATGGCATAGCCATAGCCACAGTGACACGGTGGCACAAAGCATTACTCATATTTCTAGTGACGCTGGTGCAAACCTAGCACTACTTGTCATATAGAAGTACAGCACGTACTTAATGATAGATAACACACGATTCTGTTCCTAGTTTACCATACTTTTATTATTACTTCGAAGTACATTCTTCCCACTTCTAAAAGATGTTTAGTGTAAAATAGTGTGTCATGTTATGGAGGCAGCAACCTCATACATCTTGTATTCATGAAACATCTTGATTGTGTCCTTTACTGTTTTACTTGGTTGAATCTTGTGTTGTTTTGTCCGTAACTGCCATAGGAACCATAAACTATCTCATATCCATACACCACGGAGCCTCGAAACGTAGTATGCTATGCCATATAAATTTAAGTTTGCTCTATGGTGAACTTCCATAAGGATACATTTCTCAGAATATGTCCCTGTCATTAAACAATGCCTGTGTGTAGATTATAGGTAATTGTACAAAAATATATCATTGACTAATTGGTAGAATAAATTAAATATTAAAACTAATGCTAGTTTCTAAAAACTAGTAATATTTTGAACTTTCACCATAGCCTCCTATAGGATTTTCTCATTTCAAACAGATGTGTAATGAGGTGTTTAGCTAGGTGCTGACCTTTCGATTTGATTATTATCATAGACTTTCATAGTTTCTTATGTTTATTCATATCCTTCAAGTGTTAGAATGTTTGTAATATCTTAATTTGCCTATTTAAACATAAACATCTGGTTGGTATTTGTGCATAAGTTAAAACCAGTCCTCACTGAACTGACAATAAATAATACTGTTACTGTATGGCATGGAAATATAGAATGATATGATCATGTTTGTCAAGTGTAAAAACTGGCTTCTTGGTGATTGGTATTCTAAACCTTTGTGATAAGATTTCCACTAAAAATTTGTGCTGATACTTACATAAATATTAAAACAGCCATGGTGAAAGTTATCTAAATAATAGAAAATTAATATACTGCTTTTCAATTTTGATATAAATTTTCTTGTTTCAAGCAAGCATTTTACTTATATATAATTATGAAACCATATTGCGTTCCTCTTGGGAAAGTTCACTGTTATGAGGGGTAGGTGATATATGGAGAATTTAAAATAACTGGTGGGTCACATATCTATATACAAGATTCTGGAAGGTACTTTTTAGGTTATATTTAAAATATATCTGCATGTTGTATCCTGCAAGAAGATGAAGAGTTGTCATTTTTTTCATCTTGCTTCACTGATATTTTCAGTTTTCTGAGCTATGCCATCTTTTAAACTTTCCTCTAAGGGGGAGATAGTGGACATATTTAGGCTCTAATGGTACTTTCAGTGTAAAACAAAGATATTGAAAATAAAGAAGACAGATTCAGATTAGATATTCTTGGAATATATACTGTGAGTAAGTTACTTTTTATATCTTACTTTTGGACAATTAATATTTAACTGTTATTATCTTTTAAACTGTTTCTTAGAGTTCATAACTTTAAGGAACGTGAAGGTCGCAGACCTCGTGTTCTTGTGGCAAAAATGGGACAAGATGGACATGACAGAGGAGCCAAAGTTATTGCTACAGGATTTGCTGATCTGGGTTTCGATGTGGACATAGGCCCTCTTTTTCAGGTACTAAAACATTGTTCAGGGCACTTTCAAAGAGTCAGCCATAAGGAAAATGATGATAGACCAAGATAAAGTTTTTAAGTTGTACAAGAGTGTATCATAGTCTCTATTTTTGAAGAAATAGAATCCAATTAATTATCACATACAAAAATAAATTATAATTCATGGTAAGTGAAACTGTAAAAGTAAATGTAGCTCAGAACCAAAAATTTTCTTAAGCTTTGGATATTTTTAAAGATCATGTTGTACTCTTTGAAAGTTAACTGATATGTGGGAAAGATAGGCCTCATGAGATTTCTGCATTGTTTTCAAAGGGAAATCAATCCTTAAGGTATTTGGGTATAGTGACACAAATATAATTCATCCTATTTCTTATATTTACACGGTAATATTTCTCACAGACTCAGGGTTTTACTTCTATGCCATGTGAGGTCCTTAAATGTAACTTTATTACTTGAGAGTGTACAATCATAAGCCTTGAAATCTTGCCAAACTCAGAACATTCACATGTTGATGAATTTTTGTGCTTATAATTGTATAGTACTTTCTGAACTGGTATCATTCATTCCACATTTTCAAATTTACAATGTAAGAATTATAGGTACCTTTTATATGAAATGTTTTAAATACACATGAATTAGCAATGCAGTGTCACAAACTCATAATTGGTGCTGAAGGTGGACATGATTTGGGGTAACTCAATTCATAATTCACTAACTGAAAACCTTTTTGATTCTGTATCATAAAGTGTTTAAAGTCAGTTAATAGATGATAAAACACACCTTCCTATATGCTGTCGCTTCTCTTTATTATGCACTTATGGGAGTGCTGTAGCTTCTCACCTAATTTTTAGAGTTCTATGTTATTAATTCAGTGTCTCTGTGGGAGCTTTTGGAGCTTCCTGACCTCTATCTTGCTGATGTCATTCTTTCCCATTCTATTTTAAAAGCTAAGATCTTTCTTTCTTTCTTTCTTTTTTAAGTACTAGGGATTGAACCCAAAGCCTTTAAACTGACCTGTATTCCTCAAACTTTTGTTTTTTTTTGAGGCAGGGTTTTCACTAAGTTGCCCAAGGTGGGCTCAGACTTGTGATCATTTTGTCTCAGGTTTCCAGAGTGCTGTGGTTAAAGGAATGTACCACCATGCCTGGCTAAGATTTACTTTTTTACTTGTGTTTTGGATGTAGTCTTTTTCTTCTTTGTAGATACTATAAAATACATTCTTTTTCTTTTTTTTTTTTCTTTCTTTTTTTTGCAGTACTGGGGATTGAACTCAGGACCTTATGCTTGCAAGACAGGTGACAGCACCACTGAGCTAAACCCCCAGCCCACCAGCACTATTTTTGCTAAGAGAGTTGAAATATTGACTTTAAGCAGATAACACTTTTACAACAGTTTTTTTCTGGTCACTGCTTATGGATAATGATTTGTTCCTTTAACTTCTGACTGCTTAGACCCCCCGTGAAGTGGCCCAGCAGGCAGTGGATGCAGACGTGCACGCCGTGGGTGTGAGCACACTCGCTGCAGGGCACAAAACCCTTGTTCCTGAGCTCATCAAAGAACTGAATGACCTGGGACGCCCAGACATCCTCGTCATGTGTGGAGGGGTGATACCACCACAGGTATTTCCCTTCTTTAGTGTTTTCCTAGTACTGTAATTGGAATCCTGAGTAGTGATAGTGATAGATTATTTGTAGTTCTAAAGATAAATTTATTATAGATTCAAAGCCAAATTATTTTCTGTCGATTTTACTAAGTTTTATGGAAAGCAGAAGTAGGCAGTGTTACTTTGTATTCAACTTATATTTTAATTCATAATGTATAATTTTATTTAATAGTTTACAAAGATTCCATGATAGAACTGTATCCATACAAATGAGTAACTGAAGGTCGATATCTACCCTCTTCTTATGCAATAGTCAGTAATGGAGGAAAAAGCCAGACAAAAGCCATGCCTCCTCACCTGGAACAGAGAAGAATGGTAAACACACTGAATATACCAATCCCTAGCTAAGGTGCAGTGAGTACTCCTTTTCTCGGTGGTAAAGCGACACCTATAGCTTGCTTCTGTTACAGAGGAGCTACCTTTTCCACTTCTTTCATGTTTCCATCCCTAAATGTTGCCCAACTGGGAACTTCATTAACTAAACTACTTTGGCTGAAGAATAGTTTCCTTGGAGCCAAATGTACCCTAATACAGGCATGTGGAATCAGCTTGTCCCGAAGAAGATTATAGGCTGCATGGAGAAGGAAGTAGATACTTAAGCAAAAATGATGGTCCTGCTAGAAAAGAATAAACAGGTTCTAGGTAACAATTAATGTCAATCTGTTTATTAACAGGATGAGAGGACACCACCCACGTATTCCATTTCTAGTTAGTTAAAATAATTAATTAAAATGTAAGAATGATCTATTTCCATTCTAGTTTCCACTTCTGCTAGGTTTTCCTTTATTACTGGAATGGAAACAATATTAAGTTAGAAGAACAATATTTGAGGCGTCCTAAGTAAATGATTTGTGGATGCTGCAAAAGCCCAGCCACTGCAGCAGAAATTCATCAAGGAAATGGGATTGTGTTTCCAACTCCAAAGTTTTTCTTCCTAGATTACAACTCAGAACAAGAATAATGAATTTATATACCACTTAGGAACTGAGAAGATACATATAGATAGATAGATAGATAGAGATATATAAATACAGATATTTGGTCATGAAATTGGTGATAATATAGGGCTAGTGAGCAAACTAGATATCACTTATTCTCTAACAACCCAGTTCTTAAGGTTATGTAGTCAACATAAAACTGCTTTTATTAATATACACAACTGTTGTTTTCACTATTTGTGTGTGTGTGTGTGTGTGTGTGTAACAGAGAGAGAGAATTTCACTATGTTGCCCCAGGCTGGTCTCAAATTTTTGGACTCAAGTGATTTTCTTGCCTTAGCCTCCCACACTTGGCTGAGGGCTGTTATTCTTTATTACTGTCTCCCCATGGAACAATTCTGTCTGTTTTGCAGTTATAGAGTCAGTAATATCTAAGCTCATAAGCATGATTTTAAAATGTAGCAATCAAAGTAATTAGGCTGCGTAAAATATTTAAATTGAAATAAAAGATACAATGTAAGTCTGTTCCATAAGTGAGATGACATTTTCAGTATTTCACACAAGTCATATTAACTCTGAATATTTTAAGTACTGAGAACATCTTTAGCTGTTTGTCATATTTTTACCTTATATAAAACACTAAAGATAATTTTTTATGACGTACTTCTGAATATCCTATAAATATAATGAAAGTCAAAACCTGTCTATTTTTCTGTTCATTTATACTACATGTTAGATCTGTTACTGTAAAACATTTTGAAATAATAACTTTCTATTTGGAAGTAACTTCAAACAGATAAGGTTCAAAAATCAAAGTACAAAGAATCTATGTACTGTATACCTTTACCTAGACTCACTTACTGCTAACATTTACTCCCTCACCAACTATACTATACAAGGTTTATGTAAGACTTAGGAAGGCAAAAACTATTTTCAGTTGGGACTTTCATGATTCTTTTCCAGTTGAAAACTCAATTCCAAATGTGTGACTCAAACATCAGGACAAATGCACATAACATTGTTAGGAAAGAGTGAAGGAAAGAACCTATTAGTCTACCTATCGCTAGTTTGGAGAGGATTGTGATGGTATTTGATCCAGTTTTCTTATGAGCTTTTAAAACCTCTAGCATTTACTCAAGGAGAGTAACAAGTTTTGAATGCCTTTATCTGTCAAATGCTAGGTATACAAAGTTGATTAGACAGTAATTCATAGACCAGGAGGACACAGGTCCAATAAGATATGTGAAGTTCCATTACAAAATCATAGTATTACAGGAACATTATAAGAATGCAACAGAGATAGAAAAAAAAATTGTTGGAGGGTAATTAGCATGATCATATAATTTATCATCCAGGTTAAGATCTCTTGAGAGTGGAAAGTGGTCCTGTTTAAAAAAAAAAAAAAAAGTTCTGCAACAGTAACACAAATCAGAATATCTTGGCATATGATTGGGATCAGTGGCTCAAAGATTATCCTGTTCTTGATTTTATAACTATGAATTCTTTATGTTAAAATAGCATAAGCCTAGGACATAATCTGTGCCCTGGGAATCTTTATGTTCAATTTTTGACTGTGATTAAAATAAACTAAAAAACAGCAACAGAATTTTTAAAAAAGAACTAATCTTTATTTATAGAAAATCCAGTTTCATCATGAAGTCAAATTCAAAAGTAACACATTTTGCTAGCTGTAGATAAAATACTCAGGAGGAGATAAACTTGTAAACTCAAAGCTATAACGTGCTAACTAAATTTAATGCAAATAAGGACAAATTGTGAAAATTTAAATCAGAGAAAGTTATGATATAGAGTTCCGAAGTTCTTAGAGACAATTTTCTACCACCAACAAAACATGGGCAGAGTATGTTTTGGTTTTTAATGACATGGGGTTGGAAGGTGGTGCCACTAGCTATTACTAGCAATCCCAGTCAATGAGGAACTTTTCCAACAGTATACTAGTTGAGAACGTTTTGGCCATTGGGGCAAAGGAAAAAGGAAAACAGTCATTGTTTTGTTTGGCTTTCTTGACATTAGAGATAAAGTTTCTTTATTAATTAAACAAATTCTGTCAACAGGATTATGATTTTCTGTATGAAGTGGGTGTTTCCAATGTATTTGGTCCTGGCACTCGAATTCCAAAGGCTGCTGTTCAAGTGCTTGATGATATTGAGAAGTCTTTGGAAAAGAAGCAACAATCTGTGTAACATCTTGATTTTGTTTTACCCTTTTTCTAATTTTTTAAATAATTATCAAAGAAGAGAGTAAAGTTGTGCGTTCAGTTTAATCTCAGTGCTTGTCTGCACTTTCCTTAGAAGTTTGATGTTGAATTACCTTACTTGTTTTCCTGCTATAAATTTCTATATACTGTTATACTTTAAAACTAAAACATATTGGCCTTAACCCTCCATAACAATAATCATATGTTTTATTTTAGAAAGTAATAGTGACATACTATTTAGAAATATTTCTTATAAATCTACTTGCTTTTCACTTTAAGAATTAAACTTTACATAGGAAAAAATTTGGCTAGGTTTGTTCTTCAAGTAGCATTACATTGACTTGACACCAAAAACTAAAATCTGTCATAGAAAAAATAATGGGGAGTATTTGTGTGGGAAAAGAAGTTGTGGTTATGAACCTCAGCCAAACACTACCAGAAACATGTTGGAGACTGCAGATTGGAATAAGGGACAAATGGCAGAATATTTCAAGTCTAATTTTACTCCCTTCCTGTGATCTAACATGTGATCTTGTTACTGCTTAGCTTGGCTCTATATCCAGGAAAATGTATATGAACACTTCCTTAAATAAAAGGATTTGAGTTGTTAACAAGGATTGCTTCAGAATAATGATGTAAGCTGTGAATATAAATGAAACAAAATCACATACCATCAAAATAAATTAGTTTTCTAGATCCAGAAAGATCTGTCCAATAAAGGTAATTTTTTAATTGTATTTTTTTTCAGATCATTTTCTTTATTTGTACATGTTGGTAGTTTATAATGTTTACATTCCTTGTGGGGAGTTGATAAATGTACATGATATAATTTTAAGAACAAAGAATATTTACTGTTAAGATTTGCTCATTAAAGAAGGAAAGTGTCCCTCAATTATACATATAATACATTAAATGAATATAAAATAAGTAGCAGTAATTCTTTTGTAATGAATTTTTGCTGTGTTGTCAGAGAACAGTATCTTGTTAAGAGATAAATATTATAATCTTTTACATATTACTGTAGAATTCATTTATTTATTTATTTGTGGTTTTCTTTGTTTTTTTTTGTTTTTTTGAGACAGGTTCTCACTATGTAGTTGAGACTGACCTGGAACTCTCTTTGTAGCTCAGGCCAGTCTCTGACTCACAGTGACCCTCCTGCCTCAGCCTCCTGAGTGCTGGGATTATAGGCGTGCACCACCACGCCCAGTTTACTGTAGAATTTATAAACTACATTATAACACAATTTAATTATTAGAACATGACCTATTAGAAAGGTATTAAATCATGATTATTCCCATTTCACAGGTGTGCATTCTTAGTTCAATTCCAGTGATATATTCACTATCCTATTTTACTTATTCTTCCTTAGAAAGAAATGAATATCAATTCAATAAGTTTCATTTCTATGATGTGTTGTTTGCTGAGGGACATGAAATAATATTCTTGATATTTAATGTCTTTTTGGTAGGCAGTTTTGGAGAAAAGAAAGGCAGGCAGATGCTGCTAAATTGTTCGCCCATTACATGTTTGTTACCTGCACCCAAGCACACTGTCTTCACTACTCCACCTTTTTTTTTTTTGGTGCTCGGGAACGAACTCGGGTCCTTGTGCTTGCGAGACAGGCCACCAAACCGCTGAGCTAAATCCCCGGCCCACTACTCCACTTTTTAAAATCCTGTTTCCTGCAATATCTGCGGCAGGACCCATAGGATTTAAATTTGGCCTCACTCTAGATTGGATTTCATTATTATATATCCAGAAAATGGCTAGATTTAAACACTTTTGTGCTGTTTATATTAGAGAAGATTCCTAAAGATATTTTACTTTATCTAACTTGTATTAGTATCCTTGGGTTTAGATCAAAACTCTGTCCACCAACAAGCAGACTTCTGGAAATAATCTGGACAATGACCAAGTATGAAAAGAAAGTGAATATATGTTTTGTGCACATCAGCTATCGATATTCAACAAATAGTACTGTAAAGTAGTAATGGATTAGAAGAACAACTACTTTCATCATTTCTTTCTGATGAAAAGAGCTTGGATCAAAATCAAAGATTCTACTGGTGATTATAAAGCACAATCACATCAGTACAGAGAGCAGTTTAATGAGGTACAGAGTATGTGTTAATGTTAAAGCCCCATCCCCTCATCCGCTTGTTGAAACATTGAAGACTCACATCTAAGTCACAGTTCATCTTTAAGGGGGAAGTGGTTTACTGGGAATCAAACCCAAGGCCTGGTGTATGCCAGGCAATACTGTATTACTGAGTTATATTCCCAGCCCACTGTTTCATTATTGGTAGGATTATTTTATGATGTATGATGCCAGTGAACACAAAATGTCACATTTGTGTCCAATATGACCTAGATATCTTTTTTTCTTTCAAGTCCAATTGTGAGACAGACAAGCCACATGTGCACACACACTGGAACTCAAGGGATTCAGGCATTGCTTAAATCTCTATCAGTAAGGTCCAACAAGAATAAACACTAGGGCAAATTTATGTTATGAAGGGTGTATGAGATGTGTGTGTTATGTATGATTTATTGTGAGAAATGACTCGCACAGTTGAGTCTGACTAAACCCCCAACCCACAGGACAAACAGAAGGAAAATGGTGAGCAGGTTGGAACTGCACAGACACAAGCTGAAGCTTGTTCTCTGCAGGCAGGCAGGTAAGAAGGAAAGAAGATAACGCAGTGAAGGCCCAGCAATTTTAGATCCAGCTGTTGTTTGGAGTCTGGGCTCCAGAAAGGTTTAAGCACCCTCTTTCAGAAGGCTTTTATCTGACTAAATCATGTGTTCAGATAATCTCTCATTTGCTTAAAAGGGACTGAGTAAGGTCTTTTAATTACATCTATACAGTTCTCCAGCATCATCTGAAGATTAGGGCTTGACTGATTAGCTGGGAGAAGGCTGTTTCTGTACTTCATGAGGGAAGTTGCCTTCCCAGTCTCCTACTCTCACACAAGAGACTTTCCTTTGTAACCCACCCTAACTGGAAATATAGCAGTGTTAGTAGCCATAGCATGTCTAAAGAAGGGGGTTATTGGCTCTGCTGGCTCAAAGCTCAGCATGTTTTTATATTCATATGTGAAGAAAGGCCCATGAATCAAACTCAGACTTTCCCATATTGGTATTCAAAATTCAGTGGAAGATACCCGAGTGTAGAGACAATGCATACATATTTGGTGACAAATTTGAAGAATCATTTTTGTACTGATTTATACAATTGCCTCAAAGGTATTTGGGGATACTAGTCTTTTAAAACTATGTTTTAAAATATTCTGAAAGTTCCTGTTATGCCATTAGTGAATTTAACATCAGGATTAATAAATAGATGTTTTTTGGAGATGGTCGGAACTAACCGTATGTTTACACAGAATAGGCACAATTTTACTCTTATTCTACAAACTACTCTGATCATACACACACCATTTCTTTGAACTCCTCTCTTTCCCAAATGGGTCAGGAGTAAATGGACTTAGATGGAACTTGTGGCTACAAAAGATACTGAGAATCAACAAATGGGATCATATCAGACGAAAAAGTTTCTGCATAGCAAAGAAAACAGTGAAGATAAAACCTAGAGAATGGGGAAACAATTTTGCCAGCTGTTCCTCAGACAGGGCTAACCTCTAGAATATATAAAGAACTCAAAAAAAAAAAATTAGACCCCAAAATAAAAGATCCAGTCAAGAAGGTGGATCACTGAAATGAATAGACACTTACCACAAGAAGACAAGTGGCCAATAAAAATGAAAAAGTATTCAACATCTCGGGGCATTAGAGAAATACAGATTAAAACAACTCTAAGATTCCATCTTCCCCTAGAAAAAGTGGCTATAGTCAGAAATAAAATAATGACAAATGCTGGCAAGGTTTTTTTGATGAAAGTGACAATTCTACATTGTTGGTGGGAATGCAAAGTGGTACAGCCACAATGGAAATCAGTATGAAGATTCCTAAAAAAACTAAAACTAGAAATTTCATTTGATCCAGCTATTCCTCTTCTGGGTATCTTTTTGAAAGAGTTAAATACATCGTATCACAGTGATACATGCATAACCGTGTTTAAACCAGCACAACTCATAATAGTGACATCTGGCAGCATGTATGTTTATTCAACAGATGAATGGATAAAGAAAATGTGATATCCATACACAATAGTATATACTACTCATTCATAAAAAAAGATAAATGAGTCATTTGTAGGAAGTGAATACACCTTGAGACCATAATTTGAAGCGATATAAATCAGATACACAGCTTAAATATCATGATTTATATGAGAAAACTAATAAAGAGCAAAATGGATGATACGTACTAGGGAACAGGGACATAAAGCTTTTTGCAAATGGGCAGTGGGCCAAGAGTGGAGGGAGGAAAAAATGTGGAGGGGGAAAAAAAAGAATTAAGATATTTTATGTGCATGTGCCATCTCCCCATGATGAGCATAATTGTTAAATACTGCAAACTTGCTAATAAAAATACAATTTTTAAAAGAAAAAATAATTAGAAACCTGGAAAATTCTTCCTTTTCCATTTCAGGAGTGGGGATTTACATAATGAAGTATTGGTAGATGTTTTATACAGCTCCATTATGCATAGACAAAATCATGCCACATTCTGGTGACACCCCTGCTAATACCCTTAAATGCCAATTCACTTCATACTAGGAAAATTTGTTCTTAAAATAGATCTAATAAAATCACATGCACTAAGGTATAAATGTCTTTATATAAAATCTGTGTGCTACTGTGGATATTTTTATTTTAACAACAAAAATTCATTAAAGTGACATCTAAATTGTTATATTTGTCATTGCTTGGAAAACACTAAAAAAAAAAATGCTCCTGCTGCAGCTGCTGCTAACAATGAACAGTGTTACAAAATTGTTCTTTTTATTGTTGTATTTGACATTATGAAAGATGTTCTCAGCATTTAAAAACATTTTCAAAATCATTTTTGTTTTCCTTACTGAACTCGGTATTATTTTTTGTTTAGTTTGTTTGTTTGCTGTTTTGTTGTTCTTAGCCCTCAGCTACTCCCTTTATTTTTTTCTTTTGTACCTATCGGGGTCTCTTCAAGCTTAGAATTATTATATTTTCCTAATTGAAATGATGCCCATCTTAAAAAACTAACAAGTGCTACTCACATGCGCAGAGGAAAGCATACCTGTACACAAGAATTATTGCCGTGTGTGCTCAAGTCATGCACTAATTTTGGACAGAATGCTTTAGTTTGTCATCATACTTTGTGCTGCCATTTCCATCTTTATATAAGC